TGGTTGCAGGCCATGCATAGCGGTATAGCCAACTTTCCTTTTATCACTTCTCTTCCAAGCAATCCATTCTTCAGAATTTTATTAGAGAACCCCCATGAAAACAACATTGAATACAAGAATTCAGAAGCCTCCACTACAAGATTACTGTCAAGCCTCACAGAGTGACCAGGATGGTCCAGACACAACTGCTTTGTAGCTTGCCATACACTTGGGGGGAAGGGGTATGTGAGCCGTTAACAGTTGCCGGCTACTTTGTGACAAACAAAGACACGAGGAGAGAATTATTTATTGATGATTGTGGATTCTCTCATAACAATTGCCTAACGTACAATTGGGCAGCATGACTTGCATGAAGAGGAGAAGGAGGTTTCTATTCCTTAATTAGAAATTTAGGAGCGAAACCTCCAAAGCTGGTTTTCCTAGCAATAGTGGCGAAATGGTTCATTCAATAAAGCTTTGCATTAGAGATATAATTGTCTGTCTTTACTTTGTTGGGTTCATCAGTCAGAACCTCAACAATTGCTTTGAATAGAGCAGAACAGGATGGCCGTTTGAATTAAGTGAAAGGAAAAGGATATTTCTGTCACCAAGACTTATCTCAATAACCTCTGGATCAATATGAGTTTGATATTACAACTATATTCATGCTCCCCAAGTACTCTTGAGTTCTCTGGAATGAGCAATTATGGAGGTTTGAGGACTTCTTGTTTTATGTACTCTCTTCCTAACTCTAACCGCCAAAATGCTTTATGGAAAGAAGTGAAGTTTATTTTTTGGGTTAGGTTGTTGCACTGCCATTTACAAATCAATGAAAATTCACAGAAGAAACTAAATTGGAACAGGACAAATTAGAACCGTTTACTTTGTCTTGGGTGAATACAGATCTATCCCAAATTGTACTATGTTCTCCAGTATTACAATTCACTGCTATACAGGAGCCAACACTGCTATACAGGAGGTTCACCTAAAAGCTATGAAAGGACTCTGTGGCTGTATAAAGAATTTAACATGTCATCCAAAATTACTAAAGAAACTCAGTGGGATTTTAATATTGCTATTAACAATTATATATTGCTGTTAACAATTCTATTATTGACAGTTTAAAATCTCAGCTTGATCTTGTTTTAAAATATTTAAAAGTCTGAACAGTGATAGGCCACTTATTATTCCAAAGTATGTTTGGGTTTTTATTGGCATCCTCAAAGTATTGGAATTTAACTTCAAAGCTTATGGCAAGCGAGGCTGCCATGAAATGTGATATCTTAATTAAAAAATGAATAAACAGTATTATGGAAAATTAAAGATCAACAGATTTATCGTGGAATGAACTTTCATGCCATGACAAATAACATAGCTTTTAAGATGCCACCATACTTATTTTTGCTCCAACAGAACTACAGATGTCCTGTTGGATGCTTATGGTGGTTCTAAGAAGTTCAGTGCAGAAACTATTTTTAAAACTATTTCTTTTAAACATTACAGTACAATCTTTAAAAACACATCACTACATATCTGGTACTTTTCCTACCCCATATATATCTATAATACATGCATACATATATGTACGTATATACTGATTTTCTGGAGGACATGTTTGGATCTGCTATTTAATAAAAAAAATGAAAAGTATGGAAGACAAAAGGCATCACTTGTATTTATATATAAAAGCTAATAGTTCATATTTGTTATATTCTTACAACATTGCACTATTTGTCTGTCAATAAATACATCTCATTAAATAAAAGTTTATTATTCCATGTCATCTATTTGCATATTACTAAAATTAAGCTGCCTACAATATTTCTGGCTGTTGAGCTCATTTTCTTTATGAAGAGATATAATTAGTTAATGTAAGAAAGAAATAATAAAAAATACAAAAGTCTAAAAAACATTATTAAATTCAAATGCCCGACCAGGAGAAATACCTGGGGTGTATATAAATGTGGAAAAGCCAATAAAAACCACACATGGAGCTGGATAAAATCAGGAGTGTTACAAAAAAGGAACTGAAGGCTTTATTTTTCTAGCTCAAGAACAACCTTTGTCAGAGGTTTGGATTTAAATGTAGCAAAAACCACTGGGCCCATTAAGATGAAGAATTTTGGAAAAAGAGTAGGTTAAGATCTTATGGGATTTCAAAACAGATAGGCATCTTGTTCATAACATGCCTGATATAACAGTCATTGAAAAAAAGAAAGTCTTCTTGATGTTGCTATATAGTGGGTAATGATAGGTTTGATGAAAAGCAATCTGAAAAAAAATGTGAAATACTAGGGCTTGCAAACCGAAGTTAAACACTTATGGGAGAAAACATCATGACTGGAACTAGGGAACCCCAACCCCCTGGGCAGAAAGTGGTCTTTCTGCCAAGACAGAAAGGTTGGGGATCGTTGTCCTAAGAGATCAAAATGTTAAAAGTGAAGATGAAAAGTTTGTTCCTTCAGATTTAAAAGAGTTTGTTAATGTTCACCTTATAGTAGTTCCTGTCTGAGATATGTGTGTATGTGTGTGATTTGCTGTATCAATGTTAAATAAATTGGAACAATGGTGCATTGGAATTATCCGCAAGAAAAGCAAGAACTGGTATGTCCACAAATAGATAAAGTTATAGAAAATGAAGAAACTAAAATGCTCTGGACTTTTCAAACAGACAAGCATCACCTGTCACACAACATCTGAGACTTAACAACTGTCGATAAGAAAGACCAAAAATCTAGATAATGGTCATTGCAATACCTGGAGACAGCAGAATAGGAAAGAAAGAACTGGGGGAAAAAACCTACAAAGACTTGCAAATAGGAGTAGCAAAACAAAGATAGCACCAATAGTAATAGGCTCGTTGGATGTAATCCCAAAACAACTGGCGTACCACTTGAATGCCATTGGCAGTGAGAAAATCACCATCAGTCAATTGCAAAAGGCAACTTTAGTGGGAGCAGCTTACATCCTATGACAGCTTACATCCTTCAACAATACCTAATATTATTAAACAAGTTTAGTCTGTCTCGGGTCCTTGGAAAGAACTCTACAGGAGGACAAAAATGACAAATCCAATCTAAACATCTGGCTGACAGTGCAACCAACCATAATAGTTCAGACTACTGCTGATGTATTACTTAGGAGGGAAATGAGTCAGTCAGTTTGTCTGCCTGTCTATCATTTTATATCTATACATACTGTATCATTGTTAAATGAAGTATTTTAAATGGAAAAAACTGCTAATGTAATATTTGCATCCTGAAAACTGTTATATTTTATTTGCACAATTCTATTTTTTCTCATTTAAGAAATAGTAGTAAAGTTGGAAGGGACCTTGGAGGTCATCTAGTCCAACCCCCTGCTCAGGCAGGAAACCCTACACCATTTCGGACAAGTGGCTGTCCAGTCTCTTCTTAAAAACTTCCAGTGTTGGAGCATTTACTGCTTCTGGAGGCAGGCTGGTCCACTGATTAATTGTTCTCACTGTCAGGAAGTTTCTCCTTAGTTCTAGGTTGCTTCTCTCCTTGATTAGTTTCCACCCGTTGCTTCTTGTCCTGCCTTCAGGTGCTTTGGAGAATAGCTTAATTCCCTCTTCTTTATGGCAGCCCCTGAGATTTTGGAATACTGCTATCATGTCCCCCCTTGTCCTTCTCTTCGTTAAACTAGACATACCCAATTCTAGCAACCGTTCCTTATATGTTTTAGCCTCCAGTCCCCTAATCATCTTTGTTGCTCTTCTCTGTACTCTTTTCTAGAGTCTCAACATCTTTTTTACATCGTGGTGACCAAAACTGGATGCAGTATTCCAAGTGTGGCCTTACCAAGGCATTGAAGAGTGGTATTAATACTTCACGTGATCTTGATTCTATCCCTCGGTTAATGCAGCCTAGCACTGTGTTGGCCTTTTTGGCAGCTGCAGCACACTGCTGGCTCATATTTAAGTGATTGTCTACTAGGACTCCGAGGTCCCTCTCACAGTTACTACTATTGAGCATGGTGCCACCTAGGCTGTACTTGTGCATTTGGTTTTTCTTGCCTAAATGTAGAACCTTGCTTTTTTCACCATTGAATTTCATTTTGTTAGTTAGTGCCCAGTGTTCAAGTCTGTCCAGATCCTTCTGTATCTTAAGCCTGTCTTCTGGAGTGTTGTCTATTCCTGCCAGCTTGGTGTCGTCTGCAAATTTGATGAGTTCCCCATCTATCCCTTCATCCAAATCGTTGATAACTTATAGTATATAAGTTTGATAACTTATAGTATATACAGTGTATATGCAATTATATACCAATAGTCCTTGACTTACAACAGTTCATTTCGTGACCATTCAAAGTTACAATGATAGTGAAAAAAGTGACTTATGACATTTTTTCACTTATGACCACTGCAGCTTCCCAATGGTCATGTGATCAAAATTCAGACGCTTTGTAACTGACTCATATTTATGATGTTTGCAGTATCCCATGGTCACATGATCTACTTTTGCCATCTCCTGACAAGCAAAGTCAATGGGAAATTCAGATTCACTTAGCGATAACTTAACACCTGCAGTGTTCATTTAACAACTGTGGCAAGTAAAGTCATAAGGTGGGGCACTACTCACTTAAATAATGTCTCACTTAACAACATAAATTTGGGCGCAGTTGTGGTCATAAATTGAGGACTACCTATAATGAGTATCAATATTACTGCTATTACTGTTGTCTTTTCAGCCTAGGTAAAATTAAAATTCAAATGCATTATTATCACTTCAAACTCACTAAAAAAGCTTTCCTTTTGCTTATCTTATTCCATTTATTCTGCAACTTACAATTACTGTCATAGATTAAATACAATTACTTAAAAATTCAGTTAAAGCACATTTTCCTAAAATTATGTAAATAGTCTATTATAAAAAATGTGTTCTATCAGAATCTTAACTTCGTTTTCTGATTTTTAGAAACAAAAATAATGAAATGAAAACTATTGCTAAAGATATATTGCAATTCCACTATTACCAAGATAGACAATATAATGAACATCTTACTGTCATCCAGCTCCAGACAGAGATTATATACAGCAAGAGGCCTCCTATTACGTTGCCCCTGTCGTCTTGATTGTCGTGGTGGAGCATTTGGAGGAGAGATTGACACAGGGGTTGGCTCAGGGAAATAAGCATCAGGCAACGTGTGGAAAATCTGGAAAGAGGAATATAAAACACATTAATTTACTGTGAAGGACAACCTGTATAAATCCTGTACACCATTTTCAATAAATCACTTGTTTGGGATTTGATTCAAAACTGGAAAGAGAAAAATTATATTCAATTTCTCACATTTTGAATATAATCATTTTAAATAAATCAAAATTAAAATAAACATAAATATTCACAGGCCAAAGAATTTTCAACTATGTTTGCAGATGGCAGATTATGATAAATCAGACTTACTTATGAATTAAGGCAAGAGATATGCTCTACAATTTGCCCAACCTATGAATTTTGCTCAGGTTTTTTGTTATAATTTGTTATAATTCTTAAAACTGAGGAAAGTAATGCATAAACTACAGCTTACTCTGCTTATTTTTTCACATGCATTGTGATTCCCTTCCCCATTGGGAAGAAGAAATTGAATCTTACTGAAATGAAGTATCATAGTAACAAGAAACAACTGATTTCCTATTTGTGTATCTTTATTTATTTAGCCTACTCTCAAGAAGCAATCACTAAAATATCCTCCTAGATCCCAATTTTATCAGGTGAAAATTATAACCAAGAAAAGGGTTTTTTTTTAACCTATGGCACCTGGAAAAGTGTTATATATTTTTCCCACTGTGATTTTTTTTGCTAGGAACTTTAAACTAGATATTATTATAAGAATGAAATTGAATCAGAGATTCCATTCATCTGTATCTTTCCTTTAAATTTTTTTGAGTACAAGTGAATCTCGTGCTTTTCTACATGGACAGACTGCCATGAATGTGCACAGCTCAACCTCTACAAAACACTTTTTGCATTTAGATGGGAATTATGTTTGGCATTCTTCCCTTCTCCCTCAAATTTCCCCAAATTGCTACTATTATAAAGCAAAAAAGAAGCCAAAGGTCTTTCAAAAATGATGGCCTTCCAAAATACACTGCTCACAAAAATAAAGGGAACACAAACGTATAGGATCCTATACGTTTGTGTTCCCTTTATTTTTTTGAGCAGTATATATATGTGGGTGGGTCCATGCAGACACGTGTTTCTCATTGCTTCAGAACATAAATTTCATAAAATAATAATCATTTCATTAATCTGAACCACAGCTGATGTTCATTATCTGGTTAAAAGGACATTAAGCTGAGGTAGCACTAACTGGGGTGGGGGGAGTGGGGAAGGATGAGTCAAGACAAGACAATAAAAAAAGATATGGGTCTTCTCTATATGCAAAAAGGATTTTGGGGGAAAGGAAGAAAACACTGAAGACTATTAACAGGGTTTTTTAAAGACTATAACTCAGATTCCTTATTCCACCTTATCTGGTTGGAATTAGGCTGCATTTCCTTTGGACTCATGTGAGATTCTGTCATATCACATGTTGGTTGGAGCAAATTCTTTTGGGAATATCTTTGGATCATTTCTTAGTTTTAATTTAATTTCCCAAAAAGGAAAATGAAACTCAGTTTAGTTTACTTAGCTTTTATTTTCCAATATTAGATCTTTAGGTCTAATATTTAGGTCTCTACCTAATAAAGTCGTAGTTACCATAGTTACTATGTTACCTTCAATCTTCAATGGAGGATATAGACCTAGATTTCCAAACGGATATAATCAGAATTTTCCACCTCCATTACAACTCAATACCCATCCTTTCCTACTCTATTGCCAGATATTTTTATAGTATTTCCCACAATTCACGTAGAAGACACTTCACTTTCACCCAAACTATCAAATTATCTATAAGGACAACAACTGGTAGATACATCAGTATTCCCTACTAATACTTGTATATGTTATGATATAGAAGTTGAATTTATTTCACATTCATAACTAAGTGCCCTCTATGCAATAAATGGAGGACAAACTAATAACAATTGTTAAAAATCTAAATTCTCCTCTAAGCAGATTATCCATTTTCTCCTAGGCAATCAACTTTGGCCACTACATATATTGCTTACTTAATAATCGTTCAGAGATCAAACTTATGATGATGCTGAATGAGTGGCAGCTATAACTAGTCCTCATACTTATGTTGGTTGCAGCATCCAATCACATGATCACCATTTGTATAGGGAAGTTGAGAGAACATAATGATCATGTGATATTCTCACTTAATGACACGATTCATTTAGTATTGGAATTTCTGTTGCTAAACAGTATGGTCATGTGACACATTGTTTTATGATTGTGTTACTCAATGATGGAACTCCTGGTCCCAACTGCAACATGGTAGATAAGTTTTTAACAATACCCATGTCTTGCAGATTTTATTTAATGTTTCCACCACACTATTAATTACTTCAAGCTTGTCTGTTTAAGCTTTATTTTAATATTTTTACATCACTTTTATATTTACTGTGTTGTAATATCACCATTTATATATTGGTTATGGATTGTAAATAAATGAATAAATGATTGTCTTTTTCACTGAGAATATGACCTTTTAAATCAACGTGAACCAGATAGGTTTTCTGTATTCTGTTATTAATTGTTCTCTAACAGGTTGTGTTAGATTTACTTATTTATTTTGTATACTTCTGTTTTCCCAAAGTTAGCATTAAAATAAACAGTTTATAAAACTATAATTGTATTCTGCTGAGCCCTATGGTGACAGCTCATTATCATATTATTAAAATGTTTTAATCAATTTTCAAAAAATTGTCACAGTAATGCTAATCAAACACTGGGATGGGCTAGTCTGTTAAACATAGACTACTAAGATACACTGTTTATGCATCATGGTCTGTCTAATCTTCCTCAAATGGAGAATGATTAATAACGTCCATCAAATAAAATGCACTGGATAGGGTCAATTTCACTTACAATGGTGATTCTGAAAATATTTTGGAATCAAGCCATATAAGGCTTCGTAAATAAAAACTGACTTTGAATGGCATCAGAAACATACCAAAGCTAATGCAGGACCTATAGTACATATATTATATCACCATGAAAGTTTTGACTTGCCAATACGTGGGCTACTGATATCTACAGCAACTGCAGTTTTAGAATGGCCTTCAAAAGTAGCCTCATGTAAAGTGAATTGTACTAGTCTAACTTTATGGTGGTGATATGGAGATACTATTAAAAAGGAATCAAAATGAGGAAACTATTAATAAATATAAATAGTATTGAAAAAATGAATTACATATTTTTAGGAATAGGAAATAAAATGGCGAACTATTATACTTAACTATAAACTTTTTTAAAATTGTAAAAAAATAATACAGATAGATCGATAGATATAGATAGAATTACAAAGCAGTGACATTACTTTGCAAGTCCAAAATAACTATTCTAAGAATAGTTCAAAGGAGCTACTGTGTTGTTAAGTGGAAGAAAAGTACAAGCCTAGCTGCTCTAAAGGTCCATGTCATGGTTCCCAAGAGCATCATAGCAATATCACACAATATCTGACTTTAAAGCATTGAAGATAAAAATAAACACATCAGGTTTGCTCTGAAATAATCTGGGCAGCCATTGCAGTAGCCATAACTGAAGCAATTTGTAATACTATAGTTTGTTTGTTTTTATAGAGAAAATACTTCTCCATAGAAGTGCTAAGAATGTATGGAAACTAAACTTTAAGACACAGGGGACTCACCCAAATAAAGCCCAAAGCATCCTCTTTCTTCTTATAGTGTCAGAAATAAAATTCTTACCTGTCCATTAGCATCAGGAAATCATCAAAAGCACAAAGGGAATTTGCATTATTCAATAATTATATAGAACATTTAACAATTCTTAATTTGAATATTCTCTTACATTTTAACTGATAGCACTGCATGCTGTCTAAGACCCGAGCAACATTAAGAGAAAAATTAAATTTTTGGCATTCCCTATTATTATTGAGAATATAAAGGAAAAAAAGCAAGTTTTTTTTTCAACTTGGAAAATCAACTTTTCTTGGAAATATAAGTTATACTTTTGGGCAACTTCGGCGCACAGTTGTTAACCACAGCTTTTTCAAGAATTTAAAATGACTAAATGGATAAAAATGGGGGAAATATATGTTTATTTTAATTGCATCCTTTATCTATTAAATCAACAGAATAGGCAAAATACAGTACAACAAACTGAATCCTAATTTCCCAGAACTGAACAAATTTTTCATTGAATCAGTTGCCATGACAGAGGTGCAGTAGTAGTAGGCAGGTGGGCAATGAGATCAATTTTCAGTAACATGGTTCTCCTTCAGGGATAGTAGGCAAACAGAATGCTCATACTTGGAAGACAATTTAATTCTGTAATTTGTGGGCTTTGGAAAAAATGGGAAACATATGCTCTACTAATTAGCAAAAAGAATCATTATCCAAATGGCCTATAATGTCAGAAGACTATAATGCAGTCTTCTTTTCAACTACATAAAAATATACAGCCAAGCTAAAGAAATGAAGAGAGACGCATAAAGTGTTGTTATGAAGAGTGCAGAGATCCTCAACAATGCTGTTATTGCAACATTTAAAGGATAAGAACTGCATTCAGGACATATGCCGGGGTTGATGTCCTACTGACAATTCTTCCTTAGCTGTACAAATTCTGACAGAACCTTCCCTAAGTGCAATACTCAGAGACCACAGGATTGCTGAACAAGGACGTGAAATGTAGATCACTCCATTTCAAACATCTTGAGAAGAATTGTTGGAACAGAAGAGACAGCCATGAAGCTTTTCATTCCTACTGACCCTGCTGGCAGACTACTAATTTAATAGCCAACTAGAAAAGAGGCTAGGACTTTTTGTGTTGCAGTGTTTTTAGTCATCGGTCTCTTGCAGCTATGGATATTTATTTTTTTGCTGTTCCTTCAGCTCTTTTTTTGCATAGCAAATCAGGTCAGTTCAAAATAAAATAATCCATTAATTATCAATTGTTCAAAGAGATAAGGGAACATGAGGGATTTGACTTGGTACATATTGTTGAGAATTACTGTAAGGAAAAACCCTATATTGTTTGGCATAAGAAGGACAATTTGATTAAAGTATTTTTGGAAGGACGCTT